CCTCCCTCCATTTCTTGCCTTTCTGGGCTTCAGCAAGGGGAATCCCAGCACAGCTGATCTTATCTACAGCTGATTATCAGGAGGGGAAAAAAGAGAAAGAAATACCTTAGGCGAATGTCAGGCAAGCGGGCAGGGTGAGTGAGCATTGGGCGGGAGGGTGACCGGGTGGGGGGGCGTGGCCAGCCAAAACTTACTACTGGTTCGGCGACCCACGCCAAATTCTTGCTACCAGTTCGCCCGATCCATTGCGAACCGGTTAAATACCACCACTGGCTCATTCCCAACAAGTGCCCCTCCCCACATTGCTTCCTTAAATCCTATTCCCCAAGTGACCCTGGTGATGAGGGGCAGGACGCCCTCCTCTTGAGTCATCGGTCACTCTGCACTGGTCCCGTCTCCTCTCCATTCTCCGTGCTCGGGTATCAGGCAGGGAAAGCAGTTGCTCTTCTCCAGAGTTCTGTTGCTCCTCTGCTCCACTGCCTGTCCTTTCTATCTTCTCCCCCCTCACTCAGTCATCCTGAGCCATCTCTTCCTCTCTGACAATCCTTCCCAGGCCCAAGAGACCCTGGGCTATCTCATCGTGCTCCTCCGGTTGCTCCTCTGGGGCCAGAAAAGCTGTGTCATCTTCTTCTTTCAGCTCCATCTTCGTTGCCTCCACCTCCTCCTTGGCCCCAGCCTCCAACAGGCCATGACAAGCACCTTGCACTATTCCTCTCTCCAGGCATTCTTGAGGTTAAGTGACTTCCATGTGATTTCTATTTTCCATGCTAGCCTACAGGATTTCAATCTTGTGATGGACTGAGCAATATTCCCATGAATAGGGAGGGCCTTGTGCAGCATCCATAACCATAGCCAAATGAGAGCTTGTTTTCTTCTAATACGGAGTGGTATGATATTGCTAAGCACTGGTAACCATTTCACAGGAGTGAGATGCAATGTGCCAGAGATGATATGTATTGTCTGGCAGAATTGGACATTGAGTATTTGGGTTAAGCCACATGCTGGCACAATATTCAGCTGTGGAATAAACCAAAGCTAAGGCTGTTATTCGTAGGGTATTAGCATCAGTACCAAGGATGTCCCAGCCAGTCTGTTCAGTAAATTGTTGTGTGGCTTTTCAATTTTGCAGCAGTTTTTTCCAGGTGTGGTCAAAAGGTTAGTATCTGTTCAGTGTTAACCTTTAGGTACTTCTGAGAGTTATTACATTGTAAAATATGGTTCTGGAACTTCACTGAAAGCTTGTAGTTTGGGTACCTTCATTACTGAGGTGAAATGTAGCTACTCTCTTTTGTTAGTCTTGGTTGCAATTTTTTTAAATTGTCATCCAGTTTCTTGAGATCTTGGGAAAGGATCAGGGGTGGGATTCTACCAGTTTGCACCTATTCGCTAGAACCGGTTGTTAACATTCTAAGCAGTTCAGAGAACCAGTTGTTAGAAGAAATTACTGGTCTAATCCTGTAAGGAAGGCAGGAAGGAAACATTCTGGTGTTGCCTACAAAAACTGCCTCTCTGTTAACCCTTATTATATTCTTGGCAGGACTAGACTTCCTGTCTCAAGAACGCCTCTGGAGTTTTTTTCCCCTCCTTTGCTGGTACTTTGCTTGTGTGGAGTGACCATTCAAAGTTACAATGGCACTGCAAAAGGTGACTTATGACCATTTTTCACACTTACGACTGTTGCCGCATCCCCATAGTCATGAGAGGCCAGGAGAGGAGATGCGTGCTTTGATGTGAATGATATTGAGTTGGCCACGCCCAGCCAATAATATGACCATCAAGCCATGCCCATCCAATCACATGACCACCAAGCCACGCCCACCAACTAAGCCACACCCACAGAACCAGTTGTTTAAAAAATTGAATCCCACCCCTGAGTTTTTCCCACATTGGCCATGGATGATGGGATTTATAGTGCCACTGACTTTGGGGAAGACTCTTAGGTTTCCAAATTACTTTAGTGATTCCACGATCCCACTTCCAGAAATTTCTGAGTACTGATTCTTCCGCATTTAGGAAAGACAGGGGCATAAGGTCAGGTGAACAGGTTTCCTTCTAGAAACTTGGAACATCGGCTAGAAGATTAAAAAAGGTATAAACAGGACTAAAAAGAAAAGACTTAAAAAATTTAAAAAGTAGAGGATGCATGTTCAAATACAAAAGTATATTTGTGTGGGATTGGATAGTTTACCCAAGATTTTATTTTCCATTTTTGCTCTTGACTCTGCATCAAATAAATTGTTTCCTTCTTTATTCTGTAGTTGTAACAGCAGTATAACTCAGTAATACATTTTATTATTTTTTCTTAGAAAAACTTGTGTAGTTTATTTACTTTGGATTTTGTTATCTAGCTACAGAATGTTTGCATGCTGTGCAACAGGGAAGAGGAAAGAGAGAAAAACCTTTATTTATTTGGGGTTTTGCTATCCTAGAGTAAAGAAGGTCAGGGAAAGAAAAGTCTTGTTTTGATACTTAAACTCTGTTTATTATGCAAACTAAGGGGAAGGGGAAAGGGAGAAAATCCCTTCATTGTTTTAACAGTTTAAACCAGGGAGGTTGAATGAAGAACTGGATTCATATATCATTGTCATTACCAAATAACATTTAAAAAAAAGACAATCATTAAAAAATTCTTCTCCTCCTTCTCCTCCCCCTTCTCCTCCTTCTCCTCCTCCTCCTCCTCCTCCTCCTCCTCCTCCTCCTCCTCCTCCTCTTCTTCTTCTTCTTCTTCTTCTTCTTCTTCTTCTTCTTCTTCTTCTTCTTCTTCTTCTTCTTCTTCTTCTTCTTCTTCTTCTTCTTCTTTATTTATTTTATTTATTTATTTGATTTGCCAATTGTTTACAAGATAATAAGTATAAATGTATACATAGTTGTGAATACATGAAATGGTTACATATAAGAAAAATAAAAGAATAAGAGAAACAATAGGACAGGGACGGTAGGCACGTTGGTGCGCTTATGCACGCCTTCTTCTTCTTCTTCTTCCCTGAAATTCTCTAGGCATGTTATTGTTACTTAAAATATTACAAATAATAATTTTAAAAATCCATTTATCTCATTTTCATGGAAAGTCCTGGAAATTCCCTGTGTCTTAGAGTAGAGATTAACCTATTACAAGCTGAACTAGATTTAGTTGCTCACCTCCCTCCCTTCCTGTTGTAATCCTGCTTGGGCTCCTTGACTCCATGGCAGAGTTGGTGGTAGAATTTTCCAGATTGGTGGTTCTGAGGAACTTCAACGTGCCTTCTTTGGGCCTGCAGTCTGAGGTGGCCCAGGAATTCATGGCCACCATGGCAGCCATGGACCTGATTTAACTTATTAGAGACCCAACATGTAGTGCAAGTCACCCATTATATCTGTTTTCTGTCTCAAAATATTGGCAACATGATCTGGGTTGGGGGATATTAATACCAGTCCCTTATTATGGATAGATCATTTCCTGGAGGGAGGCTGAGCCTTTTCAACTGACCTGCCTTAAACGACTGGTTTACTTAGTAGGGTTTCAGATGGAAATCGAGGTTATTCCTAAGGCTCTGGTACAAAATTAGGCTGAGGTCATTCCTGATGTTTGAATGAGCATGCAATAAACTTTGGTCAGATGCATACTGTCTGCAGTTATGGATCCCTAGGAATCCCTGGTTATGGAAGAGTCCTGGAATATAAGATAGAGCGATGCTGGAGAAAGGCCAAGGATGAACCTGGCTAATTCTTACAGGTAAGAACCTCCATTAGGACTTACGTTGTGACAGTAAGAGTGACAAATGTGCTGTCTTCTCCACTCTTGTTTTTATTTGGTCTAGCTGGCTTACAGATAGTAAAAACATAATGTAAAAATAATAAAGTAATAATTTGCACATATAATTATATAGTAATTATGCATATATAATAATAATTATTTCTGCATCTGCAAATAAGCCAGATCAGAGATGATAACCAACTCTCTTCTGGATAAGGAGAGGCTGTGGAAGTCCTTGGAGGGCTGCTGGGAGGACTATTTTATGCATCAGTTGGATAAAGTTGCTTGGCTTTTTTCTGAATTGGACTTCGGATGGGCAGATCCTGTTGAAATGACTGAAGCACACCTGTGCTTGGCTAATCCTCCTGCCTCAAGTTTTGGATCATTCGCCTCTTCTATTTAATATCTATATGAAGCTGCCAAGATAAGTAATTAGGAAGCAAGTAGTGCGGCATCCTCATATGAGGATGATACTCAGCTGTTCATCTCTACCCCATGCTGAACAAATGATTTCACTTAGTGGCTTACCTGGTGCCTGAATGGAACAGGCTGAAAAACAAGCTGAGATTCAGCCTAGCAATGAGATTTACTCTAGAAATGCACACTAGCAAGACAAAGTGGCTTTGGGTTTTTAGCGCCTCAGTGAGTTGCCATCCTTGACTCTGGACTGGGGTGCATTTCCCCAAACACAGTGGCATGCAATTTGGAGGTCTTCCTGGTCTTGTGGCTCCTGTTCAAGGAGCAGTTTGCAGCCACGGTCAAGGGGATTTTGCACAAATCCATGTTGCATGCTAATAGCACCCTTCCTTATATCTTTAGTAAAACCACCCAAAAGCTATATCTGATCCAGAATGGGGCAGCACAGGAAGTTCTGTTTTTCTTTGGTTTGTCTGTGTTGCACCTCTTGTTACATGAACTGCACTCATTCCCAGTTTATTTTCAGGTGCAATCCCATGGGCTAGCTATTATCTTTAGAGTTCTAAACATAGAGGTCCTGGTTAGTTACAGAAATGATTATCCCTGGGAATATCCAATATCAGAGAGGGAGCACTACAATTTTTTTGCCTTAAATATTGCAATTTGTTGGGATCTCATGCTCCTTTTCCTTAGCAGCCCTGGCCCTTTGGAACAGCCACCCACCTCACCCTGGAAGCCTCCTACCCTTTTAGCCTTTTGGATGGCCATGAAAATATAGCTCTTTCCCCAGGCATTGGGCTCAGAATGAAGAGGAGCCGGTGACTAAGGAAATGATGAATGTTATGGTGTCATAGTGGTGAGTACGTTGCTTGGTGTATGGGTGGCATTGTTTATTTGTGGTGTGTGGTTTTTTAAAATGTTGTGAGCTGTGTAGAATTATCATATGTGAGCTAAATGGCCATAACCTTTTAATAAATAAGCAAGCAGCATTTTTTAAATTTTTATTTCAGAAGTGAGAAATTAGGACGAGCAAGACAAAGCTCCTATTTATGAAGATCTAGCAAACCAAGATATCAAAATGAATGATAATAATAATTATAAATAGTGTTTACTTCTTCAATGAGTCTGAGTAAGTAGAACTTGATTTATTACACTGAGTTTCTGTGATTTTACTTTGCTTTACGACATAGCTGCATAGCCCTTATTTATGAGGGGTGGGTTATCTGCAAGATATATTCTGGGTTCAGTGATTGAGTTAATTGATTTCAAACAATTAATTTAATTAGTTTCTCACTGCCAACTGTTTAGAACATTTGCGCTAAGACCGTTCATAATTTTTTTAAAAATATATATATATATAAATTTAGAGTTGTTTTTTTAAAGCAAAGCAAATGCTGAAAGGCAAAGATTAGTACCTTTAGATCCAACAGTCAGTTGCCAGAAATGGCTGGTTAGGGCTAACAGGTTTTCACAAATTCTAAGATATTCTGACTTCAGTGGCTGTGTTTATGGCAACTTTGCAGAAAAAAGGCCTTGGATCGAGTCATTATGACCTCAGCAAACGGCATTGGTGCGGATAAGCCAGGCCTCTGTCAGTAAATGATCTGTTCCAGATGTGTGGCCCTGAGAAAGGGAGGGAGGGGGGAAGACTTCTCCTTGTTCAGTGAAAGTACAGAGCTTTGGGAGATGAAGGTGGGCTAATAATGTTGGTGGGTGGTTTTGAGTCATACATGAAAAGGAAAAGGCAGGGAGCTTATAGAAATCAACCTTGGACACAGCTGCTGTGCCTGGTTTCAAGAGGCAGCATTCTATTTTGCTTGGTTCTCTCTTGGATTTGGTCCAAAACCTGCATGATGTGATACATCCATTTCAAGAGGCCCAAGTTGGGAAAACAGCACTAAACTGGGTTGAAGCTAAGAGCAAGTATGCTACCATCTAAAGAACTGCACCTACTTGTGAATGCACTTGGCTATAGCCAAGAAAACCTTTTTAAAAATCCCAAAGAAGCTTCTACTGTATGGGATCTATTCAAAACTAATATATATGAAAATAGTTTTAGAAAAATGTCATCATCACCATCATTATCACTATGATATATCCATGAGGAAGCTAAAGACGAAAGTAAGCAGTGCTCAGGAGTGATACTCAATCCAGGAGCATTTTAGACAACATAGTCTACATAGCGAATACAGAAAAACAGAAGTGGAAGCAGCCATTATAGTCCATATAATTTGACTCCCTATTCATTGCAAGAATCACAGTTCAAGCAATCATACCTGTTGGTTCTCCAGCATTGAACTCACGTGACTAAAAGAATCTGATCTTCTCCCTCAATCAGTGGTTGTTAATTGATTGTTATACACACATGCATACAGGACTGGTTTTCCATGGAGTGTTATTAATTATTATCACAAATATATAATATTTGAAGAAACCCCATCAATATAAAGCTGCTTGAGTGAGCAAAGTTTCCCCGAGAGCCTTTAGGGGCTTATTTTCCATGGATGCCATACTAACATGAGTAACTTGTGGCTTTAAGCGTATTGAATATTTATAAAAACAAAGGAACTTTAAACTATTAATGAGGAAATGCTAATTTCAAAATAAATCTTCGTTATTGCATTATAATTCTGGAGAGGGACAGTGGGGAGTTTGCTGAGTTGCTATGATAGGAGAGCATCATGTCTCTTCTTAATTTTTTTATGGTACAGCAAATCACTAAAATATTAGGAAATGAAAGTGAACTGATATGGTAATATCTGGCCATTGGTATCAGATGCTAGACCCAATACACTTTGGAGAACTGGCAGTGTTTTTTTCTCCTGCAGATACAGGACATAGCACTGTTGGTGTTAGAAGTCTATGATTGATGGCTGGTTGACAGGATCTAAGAAAAGAATCACGAAGGTGGCAATTGTTCCTCTAATCAGGGGATAAGTCTGGGTTACAGATTTCATGGTTGAGCCAGACCTGCAAAGGAGACAAATAAATTATTTTATCAAGCAACAGGGTCTAACTTTGAAGCAGATACAACATGACTTGGATTAATTCTGATATTCACTTAAGGGTGGAGGAATGCCCAGATGGGTGGAGATGTTGTTCAAATTATTGGAATGTTATCTTGACATGCAGCCTTTTTGTATCAAAATGGGAAGATCATGTATTTTGTTGGAGTCAACAATCAACAGCTGGGCTAAAGGTATCCAGGATTTGGGATGAAAAAAAAAATCATTAAAAAAGTCAGAAGAAAGCCAAAAAAATTCTCATTGGTTCTTGACCAAACTATCAACTTATAAAGACTGTTCATTCTCCCAATATGAAATAAAACTTTGAAAATCATGGGAGTCAAAGCCCAGCATATTTGGAAAGAACTGTGATGAAATAGGTGGCTTATGTATATTAATGTTAATTCAAAAAGGAATTATTAGTCAATTAGTCATTGTTTCTGTATGTGATGTTTTATAGTGAATAAAGTTTTGAACACTCAAAACAAGTGTTCTTAAACCAAGGTTTGCTTGGTTATTTCTAGAAATATGAATTCTAAAAATTCATGTGCTTTTATGTCAGTAACTCATTCTCTCTCCCCCCCCCCCACCTCTCTCTCTCACACACACTGATTTCCAAGTATCTATTTAAAGGAGCTTTGTCAAAAAGTATAAGGAAAATCCTCTGTCAAGATAATCCTAGAGAATTGTTTCTAGCTGGCACAGATTTTGCCAGGCTGTAGAAACCAATAGGACCTGGGAACAAATAAGTTTATATGTTAAAGTTGCCCCAGAGAAAAATACTGGGATAGTATATGCCAAGATATATTACTTCAGTTATAAAACACAGAGCTAAGATTTCCGTGATTTATACCTGCTTTTGCTCATCACTACCACCACCACCAATAACAACAATATTCATTAATTTTGCTATAAGCAGTTCTGTTTTTAAACCATATAAGCATTACAGAAATAAAATGTAATCAACTGGTGCTGTTTTCATGATAAACTTGTTACTTGGAAATAAGGATCATATTGTAGAAAAGGAATTTTTTTTTTAAAAAAAAATAAAACTAATGAAATACAGTCTATGTGGGATAGACAGCATCACCACGAGATGGATTCTTAAATGGCTGACTAACCGCACTCAACTTGTACCCCTGGTGGAACTACATCTACGCGGAGGGAAGAAAGCAGTGAAGTACCTTAAGGTTCTGTCTGCTGTCCTCAAAATCTTCATAAATGATTTGGACAAGGGGATAGAAAGGGACCTCATTAAATTTGCAGATGACACCAAGCTGGGGGGAATAACCAACACTTTAGGAGATAAGCTCAAAATCAAAAAGGGTCTTGATAGACTTGAATACTGATGAAATGCAATTCTGTGGTGAGAAAATGAAGGCCTTATATTTAGGCATCCCCGCCACTACTGCTGCTCCACCGCTGCTGGCACTGTTGCCAGTCCATGGAGCCAGAAAGGTTGGGGACCACTATCTTATAGACAGCCATTTAAATATGAATCGGCAGTGTGTTGCAACTACCAAAAAAATCAATGCATCTTAGGTTGCATCAACAGAAGGATAATATCAAGATCATGTTAAGTGTTCATACTGCTTTATACTACACTGGCAAGACCACACTTGGAATACTGCATCCAGTTTTGATGTTGAGGTGTTTTGCTGTTCTGAAATTGTTTATTTTATAGATTAAGGCCACTCTGGGTCTGAAATTGTTCAGTAAATCATTATACAAGTGAGCATTTCATCATACTGTTATGTATTTATGCCAAAATACTCAAATGGCTACCATATAACATCTTTCCCACACTCTCTACCAGTTGTTAGATATATATATAGAGAGAGAGAGGAGAGAGAGGGAAGGAGGGAGGGAGAGAGAGAGAGAGAGAGGGAGGGAGAGGGGGAGAGCGGGGAGGGAGGGAGAGACCATCTCTTCCTCATTCCCCCCCTTTTCCTGAGCTGGATTCATTCCTTTTTCTTGGTCTTAATGTTTAAGATCGAAGCACATTTTTGCAGTTTTTCTTTGTGGCATATTTTAATTCTTGCTAATACATAAGTTAGTTGAGCAGTGCAGATGTTAACACTGCCTTAGGGCTGTCTGTCCCGGGTCTGGTTTTGCATAGGGAGGGAGGCAGTGTCTGCTTCCAACAGCTTGACGTTCCCTGCTCTTCCCTCTGCCCCGATTGCCCATTTGGAGCTTTCTCTTGGATTTCACAACCAAGTTGACTGAGTGAATAAAAAATTGCCAAGTTGAGGCACCCTGGGCCTTGTAAAGCTGCAGGGCTGCGAACGGCACTCTGTTGCTGGCAGGCAGGGTGACCTGAGATGGCCGTCCCCGGGTTACAGAGGTTCTGGTAATTCTGAATGGGTGGAGAACTGGAAAGGAGAAGTTAGTCTCACTGAAGCAAAGCCCCCGGGAGCAGGGCTTGCTCCTGAATCTCATTTTTCACATGTCTCCTGCACTCTCACTACTAGCCCCGTAAGAGGAAAGGAGGTGCTTCCTGTTATTCTGATTCAAATCTCAAGCTGGTGACAGGACAGAAGCAGACTGCCTATGCCTCAGAGTGGCAGGCTGTACAAGATGGATGGCCATGCTCTGCTCTTGAGACTACTTCTGCTGATTTCCACAGGTAAGTGGTTCTCCAGGTTCGGTAAGATATGGCACAGGATGCTTGGGTCAGTGAGGTACTGGAGAGGTCATAGTAGCTTTAGTCTCTGGACTGGCAAGAAAAATGAGGGTCCTCACCCAGGCAGTTCATCTCAGACAGGTTGGAAGGACATTTTAGGGAATACCGAGGGGATGATTCGACTTTGGAATCCAAGGCTCAGATCTTTCTGTGATCCTGCTTCTTACCTGAAAGAGGTCCGTAACGTAGGCCTTGCCTTGCCTTCTGCTCTCTGCATGTGCCCCACCCAACTTATTTAATTATTTCTCCATTGTTTCCCCTGATTCCACATCATCAGTATTTTTTTTTTCTGCCTCAAAGAACCAATGAGGTTATTTTACAGATATAAAATCCTAAGGATTGAGATGCGCTCTTTCCCCTCCCTTCAGTTTTGCTTATACTCCTCCATTCCTCCACAGGAAGAATGCCAGCCTTTGATAGGCCGAACTTCTCTGTATCCAAATTGTATGAAGCCTTTGGCAGAATTTGTGAAGCCACTTGCATTCTGACCCTGGCTGAAGTGGGAATGAACCAGAGTGTCTCGTGAAATACTTGTGGCTCTTTCTCCTTCTTCCTTTCTTTTTGCTTGCAATGATTTCAGAGAAGAAATGAAAGAAATAGGTAGTTTGTTTTAGTGTAGCATGGAGACATACATGGAAGGCTACATTGGTTTCCTGTTAAAAATGATTTGACATTGTGCAGGAGAGATACACTTTCCTACATACGGATGTGAAGGGATAAAGGACCCCTGTTGCTGGCCAGATCCATTTACTGATTCTCCTAATTCTTCTTAGAGATCAACCTATGGGATCCAAACTACAGTTTGTCAAAAGTAGAGACCAGATGTATTTTGCTTATAGATCTGATATATTCAGAATGGCACAAAGAAGTAATCCAAATGATATGCTTCATGGTTTCAAATCTGACAACTGCTACATGTTACTGTGGGGAGAATGTAAAAAACAGCAAATAAATACCTTTTAGAGAGTTATGCAGAACCTCAACACAAGATCTTGCTTTTCATTATAGCAATTCCTCAAACACAGATAAGTTGTATATGTCTCACTGGGGCAAAAATCAGTGGGTTAGGTAATATGGCACAAAGCAAACTATTTTGTCCCACTGACAAAGTTTCCAAACCCAGAGTCAGGTATGTCTTTATTAGGGCCAATATGTCAAAAATCATAACAAATAAGTTCAATGTTTTAAAATGTATGTTAAGGACAATATGGTCAGAGGCTTAAAAAGATTGGAGAAGTCCATACAACATATAGAATGCTAGTTACACCTTATTTTTTTTGGTGGGGGGGAAACCCCTTAATTTTTGAAAACCTACTTTATTCAATTCTGCATCTCCTCCTCTACTTTACTATATGATCCAACAATGCATGCTTCAAAGAATCAGTATTAAATGTGGTTTTTGTCCCATTTTCCTTTCCCCACTTTTTGTGGCCTTATTTTAATTAGTTAAGTCTTGGAAAACTGAACATATTTATGTCTATGTTGGGCTATTTGTAATGAAGATATTGACTGAGGATTTGAAGTTAAAATCATACAATGACATCCAACAGCACAAAGCAAATTAAGGTAAAGGCTATCTCAGGTAGAGAAGAGAGAAGAGAGGATGGTTATAGTTAATGTTTTCTCTGGGGTGGGATTCTGCTCCCCATTATTATTTAATTTTATGAAACTTCTCCTTTGGTAACACTGATTTGCAAACTAGGGCATTCAAAACCTTTGCTAGACCAATACTTGAATTCAGCTCTGCTGTCTGAAATCCGCACTGTATAACAGACATAAATACAATTGAGCGAGTCCAGAAGTATTTTACCAGAAGAGTACTACATTCCTCTGTTCGCAACAAAATACCCTACAGCACCAGACTTGAGATTCTAGGCTTAGACAATTTTGAACTACGCCGACTAAGATTGGACTTAAGTATAGTATATAAAATCATATGTTACAATGTCTTACCAATTAATGAATATTTCAGATTTAACCACAATAACACAAGAGCACACAACAGATATAAACTAAATGTAAACCACTCCAAACTCAATTGTAGGAAGTATGATTTCAGCAACAGAGTGGTCAATGTCTGGAACTCACTATCTAATTCTGTTGTCACCTACTCAAACCCCCTCAAACTAACCTCTATTGACCTCACCCCATTCCTAAGAGATCTGTAAGGGGTGTGCAGAAGCGCACAATCATGCCTACCATCCCTGTCCTATTGTCCCCAATTATTAATTCCTATTTCTTGTATTTAAACTTATGTTTATTCTTGTTTTTGTTGTATGGTAAGCTTTTGACAAATAAAATAAATAAATAAAATTATTACCCCAACTGAAAATTCCAAACTTGTTTCTGATTTTGCCCTTAACCTGTCTTAAATTTTTAATAAAATTTTCTTCCCATCCCCAGTGGTTTCAGTAAGTCTGGACTTCTCCTTAATTGTAAATTTCTCATAGTTGGAATTTTTCCTGAGGTTATTTTTACATCGTCTCCATTTTCTCTCAATTATAGTGGCTATTACAATTCATGGTTATTCTGGGACAACAGTACCTCCCCAAAATGGTACCTTCTCTTTAAAAAGTCTAAATCTTACACTTCAGGAAATTAAAGGTAAGCTACAAATGAAATGGGATGAATTGATGCTAAAAAAATTGTGTAAAGGTTTTCTTATAGTGCTAGAATCCAGGTTTATCCCATGACATAGAATGGAGGAAGAAATTAATCTTATTTGGATAGCTTTGCTTATTTTAGATAGCAGAGGGCTGAACTAAGAAATCTGCACCTATAAAATGTGGCAATGGGCACTGATCTGAAAAACTTTTGGAAAGATTAAGAAGGATGAAACTTTAAATAGCTATTAATCATGACACGTTATTTATCCTGGCAAGTTTCTTTTTTACCCTCCAAGATCAGAAGCCACATGCCAGTGATGGGGGGTGGGTGGGTGGGCTGCCAGATTCTATACGGGGGCTTTCTTGTGTTAGAAAAACAGGATGCTGGGCTAGATAGACCTTTAATTTAATGGACCCTTCTGATAAATTGCCAATTTTGATGGGAATTCTGCTAATATCTTAGTATCCTAATGTTAAAACAAAAAAATATTATTTTCAGAGAAACCATGGGTTTACCCATGTAGTTCATTTGTGTTGATTTGCTTCTTTCTTCTTTCATGTCCAGAAACTGATAGGGTGGTATATTGAATTTTATTTCAGTGCTTAGGAATATATTCTATTCTACCTGGAGAAAAGCACATCCATTTAGAAAGCATATGGCAGTGAATAGCTTGTGCAGTTCTAGACCCTAATAGAAAGAATGAGCAGGGTGGTTCAAGAGAAATGAACTGATCCTGCCAGAGTTGTTTTTAACACCTGCCACCTGTAATAGTCCTCACATTGTACCTAATGAGGGGGAAGTATTTACACAATACACTGGGAACTTGAAAATTTGCAAATGTCTTCACATATCATTATTTCTTTTTATAAAGTACTTTTAATTAATTGATACAATTTGCCTCCCAACAATGGGCATGTTAATTTCTTTCTAAGAACCTACAGGAACTTAAAACTGATAGAGCCTCTCTAAGATGCAAACAAAGTGTCTTTGAATTTTGAGATTATACTTTTATTCTTGAAGTATTTATTGCTATGAAATACTCTTAAAATGAAGGAATGAGAAAATATTGATGCCCACCCCCCAGAGGCCTCTGCAAAAGGCAACTGATAAAAGCAGAACTATACTGACGCAATGCTAGTTCTACCCCTTGTACACCCCTTGTCAATGACACATATATAAAAGAGACAGCTTGCGTCACAATAGTGCAATGATGAGGTTGGCAGTGCTGTTCTCAGAAAAGATTACTTGGAAACTGGCAACAAAATAAAGGGGAAAATCTGATACTAGATTTCTCCCAATGTCAGAGTTTTTCCTCAAAATATTGTTCCTATGATCCCTTGAATCCCAAACCAGAGAGTTATTTCCTCAAGAATTCTTTATAGCAAGGGATTCAGTCATCATTCTTTTCCTTCTTTACCACAATTGTTACAATCATCCAAACTTATTCTGTCTGGAATAATTGTCTTTGGTAGAGTCCAGTTGCAGCTCCATTCCTCTCCTTTCTGGTAATCTTGGGGAAATCTGAAACTCTTACAAATTTATTGCCTAAGGTCATTTTGAAAGCTTAAATTAAAATTGAAAAGATATATTGAAAAAAGATGCACAATTAGTTTGCTTCCAACTGCTTTGTAGAAATGTGCTGTCTGATGAAATAAAGTAATAAATAGCCTTCAATGTTTGTAAAGAGAGGTCTGTAATTCTTCTTGCCTGAGTCAAATCAGAAGGGGAACTTGGTGATTGTTTGTTAGTTTTGATTGGGAATAGATCAGAATTTCTACTAAACACCTTTCTCAGTTCCTCAGAGGCTTCTAGCAGTAGATGATCCAGGTAGATTTCTTTCTATCTCACACCTCAGAGTAATTTCTTATATTTTATTTCTTTTCCATTCTAGATTTGATATACCAATACCGTACCAGACAGTGTTGGGATTTGTTTACTGAGCAGATGGCCAATATCAGCAAAACATATTGGTGTGATTGGAAGATTATTCGCAGGTATTGCAGAGTTTCACCTTTTACTGACCATGGGAAAGGGTAGGCTTGCGATCTAAATGAGGAAGAAGGTTGTATGATTTTACCATAATAAACTTTCATATTATTTGTATCAGGAGAACATGAAGATACTTTCTTAAATTATATTGTAGAGATAATCCTCATTTAACAACAGCCTTGATTAGCAGCCATTCCCATTTGTTAGAGTGATGATAATGTAACTTTATGACCATTTGTCACATTTATGACCTTCACAGGTCAAGGAAAGTTGAAAAAAGTTGAAGTAAGATCATAAGCACAGTCATAGTTTCACTTGGCAACCATTTCACTTAATGGCCAAATTTCCAATCCCAGTTATAATCATGAAACATGCACTACCTTCAATGTATTATATTTTCTAATTTCAGATATTTATATACTATTTTTTTGTAAGCAAGTCAGTCATTTCAGAATTAATTTGTGGCATTCAGGCTGAATTAATCATAATTAGGTTTAACTGGAATTAGTGAGATTAGGTAGCATGCAATAATGAAATGTGAGAATGACCTTGGAAAACGAGGGAAAGAAGTGCTGCTTAGGGAACCATCAGATAAAAGGGAGAGGAGTCCACAGCTGAGCAACAGACAGAGAAGGAATCATATAAAAGATCTATCTTACCTAATCCAGCAGTAAAAAAAAAGACAGTGGGAAATATGTACCTTCAGACTTGGAAGATTATGTTAATATAGTATCGCAATAAAGAATTCATCTGTTCATATTTCCTGTCTGGTCTACATGGGAAGCTGACACCTGTCCTGTCCATTTTTTGTCCTGGTTTCACAGGCGTTTTTGGCCATCTCTGTTCTATTCAAAATGAGTGGTAAAAAGGATTTTTTTTCTAAGAATAAGCCAAACCTATCCAGGTCTGTCTCTTTTTTGGTAAAAGATTAGTTTGTACCAAACTAATCTAACTGAATGTAAGCACATTCAGACTTAGAAAGATTCTGTTATAATGCTTGTTAAAATAAAAATAGTGGGGATTAAAAATGGGAATTTTAATAGGTTGTGTTCTGTTTGTATCTTTTCATCTTTTGCTGAAGAAAAGATGAAATGTTGGATTCTAAAATAATTTTAATGGCAGTTGAAGTACCTACTATAGAGTAGCTTACTATCTGACTCATGGGGCTGAGGTTTACCGCAGTATTTTACTGCTTACTTTTAATAGTTTACTGATATTTTTTCCTTGGGATACTCCCTCTTTCTTGGGTTGATTCCTCAAGACCAAAAGAACTAACCATGTTTTCATTATTTTGAAAACTATAATCCTAAAATGTAACAGGGCTTACAATATAGAGCAAGTATAACTGTAGGTCCTGTGACATTGGGTAAAACAAAATAATAACCACATTTTCTGGCTAGTAAGTATGTGGAGACAAAAAAAGACATTGCAAGCTGAAGTTCTGAATTTTGATATTGAAATCTGAATATTTTAGAAATATTTCTTTAAAACTCACAAAAAACCTGTCCTGATTCATATTAAAAACATAAGCAATATCATTTCTATTAAACATTGTCATCTTGTTGGACCTGGGATCATGCATTCTCTATGACAGCAGCTGCCCTATGAAACAGCACCCCTCTGGAGATTTGAATGGCCCTAACCTTGTTAGCTTTTTTTAAGGATTGAAGACCTGGCTGCTCTCCCAGGCGTTTGGGCTGGATGCTTGTTAGCATTGCTGGCTAATGCTAGTTGATGTACAGAGCAGAGGGCTTTGAAGGCAAGAGGAAGACCTGCTACCAAGCCAATACACAGATAAAAGGCGCTGAGTTTGGGCCAAGAAAATAACTTGAGAAATTGTCTCAAATGAGCCCCTCCCTAGTTCATGTACAGATAAAGGGAGGGAGAGACAAGTACATTCAGACTTAGAAAGATCCTTTTATTATACTTGCTAGAATAAAAATAGTACCAATGTTGGGGTTTTGAATGGGTTGTGCCGTGTTTGTGACTTTTAACATGTTTTTGTTAACAGTATGTTTCCCAAAATAACTTTTGTGAGATAGGAGGCTACATAAATTGTTTAAATAAATATATATATATATTTAAAACATTCCCAAAAACCTATACACCGTGGATGCATACATTTTTGATCATAAGATATTTGACCACATTAAATGGGAAAAATATGAAAACAAAAGATGTATTATTATTGCAAGTCCCAATGCATTTTGAAGAAATGTGAAGAAATATACAGATCATTCCTCCCTCATTTCCCACATACTTGATTGGTATGTTTTCTTGTTTTTTACATTCGATAAGAGAGAACATGTATAGGCACGGGGTCTACATGCCTGTATATGTTCACTCATGTGCATGCAATTATTTCTCATTCTCTAATTTTGGAGAGTAGGTCTAAATCAGTGGTTCCCAAAGTGGGCGGTACCGCCCCCTGGGGGGCAATGGGATGCCTTAGGGGGGGTGCTGAAAGCAGGGGGGCGCTAGGAGGCGGCAGGGGGGCACTGGAGGTGAGCGGCAGGGCACAATTCAGGGGTGAGAAAAAAATCCCACTGCCGCTGCGTTTGAAGCAAGGCCCTGCAGGATCATCCTATTGAATTGCACGCTCTGGTGCAAGGAGCTCCGCCCCGAACGCAGCGTTGGGAACAGGAGAGCAAAGCCAGAGTAGTTTTGCTCTTCTTTTCAAATATCCCACTGCCGCCGTATTTGGGGTGGTGGGGCGTCGCCCCGAACGCAGCGTTGGGAACAGGAGAGTAAAGCCAGAGGGGCTTTGCTCTCCTTTTCAAACATCCTGCCATCGCCGCGTTCCACCCCATTGAGCCCCTTGCACTGGAGGCACCTGCCCCAAGCAAGTCCGAACGGAGCTGTGCACGAAGTCAATGGGGTGAGTCTGAGAGAGGGAAAAAGAGAAGAAAGAGAGAGAGTGAGAGAGAGAGAGAGAAGGAAGAAGAGAAAGAGAAAAGGGAAAGAAAGAAAAAGGAACAAAGAAAGAGGGGGGATTTTTGCTGCAAAGAATCACAAAAGCTTCTGGGTTGTGCACAAGAAGGGACACACATGTCAATGCAATTCAGCAACATAAAATAAAGAAATACAAATAAAATAAATCAACAAGAATCGGCAAAGCATCTCTGATTAGATTTTATTCATTACTAGAATCTAATCAGAGATGCTTTGCCGGTTCTAGTCCAATGACCTGCTCCAGCAGTGTTGGAAGGGAGTATGTGTATATGTGTGTGCATGGCTGTCAAAACTCCAAAAACAGGTCAAGTAGTTCTGGGGAGGCCAGTCATAAATTAGAACACTTGCTAAGCAACCGGCCATTAAGTGAGGACCATTTGTATTTGGTTTGCCAGTCACCCAACCACACTCACCCAGTCATGTGACTAGCAAGCCACGCCACCAGTCACGTGACCAGCAAGCCATGCCCACCCAGTCATGTGACCAGCAAGCTATGCCCACCCAATCACGTTACCAGCAAACCACACCCTCAAATTAGGCCACGCCCACAGAAATTTGAATCCCACCCCTGGTTGGAGGTCATAGAGGATGAGTTTGCAGCACCAAGGGGGAGGTGGACTGAAAAAGTTTGGGAACCACTGGTCTAAATGGACCAACTTTTTTTCTGAGTATCTTGCTTATACTACTAATTATTTTGTTTCCTTGACTCTTGACTATCTTTATAGGCCATACAGTCACCTGAGAAAATGCCTCGAAAATGAAGCTGATAAACTGGACCTTAACTACCCCAATTCCATGGCTGAGGAATACATCATCATCAGCCACCATGACTACTTCTTCAATTGTACCCTGCAGAATCAACCTCTCCAGGACCCTCCTGAAAATATTTTGCTGGCTCTCATCATGACCCCCATCTGCATTATTCCTTTCTTGGTTGCTCTTGTTGTGTTGAAGAGCAAAGATGGTGAGATGCAATTGTGAGTCCCAATCTTTATGAGGTGATGGTCAAAGCAGTGTATTTACAACATTCAATTATGAAATTCACCCTACCCAGTGTAAGAACATTATCTAGCATGAGCCATTGCACTGGAGACTATTGATTGAAGTGCTGTATGAAGGCACTTTGTACTAAAAGAAAGGTCATAGAAAGAACAAAACCAAACTCCATCACCAAAGCAAATGCGATGTACGTATGCCTCCGTTATAATCTGATTTAACATTACTGCCTATTTTATTCCAAACAAATTATGGGAACTATAGATAAATTGGGTTATTGAAAATTCTTAGTGAGAACTCCCTAGACTCTTTACAGAATCATTTATTGTGAGACACTACGGCAGTGAAAAATTTTAGGGTGATAGAGATAAGTCAAATATACTGTATATGAATGTTTTTTCCGTTAGAAAGAAAATGGTAAGTGCCCATGTGCCCTTCTTTTTACAAACTGATATCTTTGTCTTTCCACACAACACTTTCTCATCCAACACTTACAAATGTCAGATGGTAATGCCCTATAAAATAGGGTATTTCCACATAGGCAAAGTGTTAGGATATGTCCCTTGTCTTTCTCCCTCTGTGGGCAAGCTCTGGCTATCCCAAATGTGGACTTCTTTTTGTAAGTAATCTAGACTAACTGGAGATGAAATGGCATCTTCCCTCACTGTCCTCTTTTCAGTTACAAGTTTCACTTACTCTACTTACTTCGACCCAAACATTTGCTCAATGTGCAGGAGATGCAGATGTCCAAGATAACACCATGGGATTACATAAAGCTGCATTTCTCTCCTTCAGCAAGATGGAATCGAAAGAAAATACCAAAAATATATGCCAAATGGATCAAGAAAACAAACCGAAAGTTTAGGGACATTCATAACAAAAGTTAATTAAATAGTGAACAAATAGTAGAAATGACAGCCTAGAAGAGTTCAACATGGTCACATTTTGGCCTATTGTGTGATACTCTTGTAACTATTTTAAAAATACAATGCCATTACCTTTTTCTAGTAGCATAGTGCTATTGAGACAAACTAGAGATATTGGCTCTTTCACTATTAACTTCCTCCTTGCATCCTCTTACTTTTTTCTCTCCAACATTTTACTGGCAACATTGGTTTTAACAAACCCCAACAACATAATACTAGTGCCTGACCATGGCACTCTAACATAAACTCTAGAAAGGAATCTGCAACCTTAAACACTCGAAGAGCCATTTGGATCCATTTCCCACAGAAAAGAAAGCACTGGGAGCCAATAATTTAAGAACTGGTGTGACTGGATGGGTGTGGCCAACTCAACATCACTCACTCCCACCCAATCACCTCCTGCTCTGGAATATGGAGTGAGTCTCCATCCCCCGCCATCACCCTTGCCTTCTCAGGCCAGGCAAGGAGTGACGGGGAGGGGAGGGGCCAGCCAGTGGTGGGAGCCACAGCAGAGGGCCAAAAGAGCCACATGTGGCTCCAGAGCAGCAAGTTGCCAACCCCGGCTCTAGAAGCTATATACTTTTTCATAAAAGCAACTTCCTTTCCATTATGTGTACTGCAAAGGAACATGTTTAGATCAGCTAAAAAGCTATGTTCAATATTTTGGGGGGATTGAAGATGTAAGAAACAACTTCTATGGTTCTTCAATGCCTTATTTTTCACCTTGATAACCTCTGTAGTGATTCCTTTTTTGAAGAGTTCTCAAGTTGAAATATCCTGGTCCCCAAATGAGTGACATGCAGAAATTACTGAAGTAGAACAACAGATACAACAGATCAGCAGATGGATAAACTGGGCAGTTTTACTAGACATTCATTCATTTATCATGATTGTTTTCCTGGGACACATATAGTTGTCTTCATTCATGTTTTCTTAGAAGTAAACATTTGATTATTCTTTTTGTGTAGCTTTTTTCTTTCGGTGTTCATAATACTATGTATGATAAAGAAATGAAAACTGAAAGGAAATAACTAATTAAAATAGATCTCAATGTCAGAAAATGTTTCCATGTCATGTTACAGATACCCTATAACTGAAACTGCAGAAAAACCACTGATTTTAAGTAGTTTTATTTTGCATGTAGTCAGGAGTTGCTAATAAGTATTCTTTCTGTATAATCCTTTCATTGGGAATAATTTCTCTTTTTGTGCTTCAAATGGTAATAAAAATTATGGTATTCTGTTAAAGTCTCTTTGTCTTAAAAAGTGCTTTCTTATTACGGCAATGTATTCACTTTAGTCTAGTTTTGTTCTTTTTCATTTTGTATACCATCTCAAGCATCTGAGGGACAGTGCAGTGATTTATTAATATTTCAGATAAAATAAACATAGAATATACTAATTAGAGTACTGCTTGATTTTCATTTCTACTAATGTTTTAATTAAATAGAAAAGTAACATTTTCAGGCCACCCATCCCACAACAGTGATTCTGAGCTGTGTACAATGTTTAAAATCCAACAATTAAACCAATAATCCACGTATGACACTCTAGATAAATGACATTTTCCAATCATGTCAATAAAAGGGCTTGTCCTATCTCCTGTTCCAATGCCCTGGAGAAAGGCCAATTTTGTTAGGAATACCTAGATTTCTGGGGGGAAGCTTTTGCACAAGACATTGTTTAACAGAAGGGACACAAATCATGCCCTCTCCCTTAGGAGCATGCCCTCTTTGGGGTTGAGCAGAAACGAGAAAAAGGCAATCTTGTAAAAGTGCAGTTCACAGAGTAGCAATGTTACATGGGTTAGCATGAGATGCCAAAAGCTGCCTGTGTAGAAATTAACATGTGCATGAAATTATGATTGCAAGCAACTAGTAACTACTACACATATTTCAGTATATGTATCACATAATTTCTATATCTTGTACCAATCTAGAGGCTAAATGCCAAATTTTGTATCACTTGCAACTGTTAAATGCTTTTCAGGGAGGTTCCACATAAAGCACATTGCACTTAATTCAGGGCATAACTGAGATATTAATAATGTTTGACTAAATCAAGGGTATAGCTACCAAGATAGATTCAAATGTCATTTTTTGTATAGTTGTGCTATGTAGCCAATGACTCTCTAAGGTCAAGAGATAGTGAGAAAGTGAACCTATTTTTCCAGGGAAAATGGAACCTCATCCAGAATAGGTTAAATCCCAATTCTATTTTCTATAAAAGCTGTTCTATTTTCATTGGATCTAATTTCAGTTTGGTCTCTTTCATCCAGTCCATTATCAAACTTAGGTATGATTCAGGAACACTAAAGTTAGATAGCAAAAAGCAGGAGAGTTTGGTAACCCAGGCCAAAGCTGTAAATAGTTTACACGGTTTAATATAGATGCGGAACAGTATAGGGCATATAAGGTATACATAGATATTATAAATTAAATAGTCCCCCAGCACTAACGTATGAACATATTGCAATAGGAACCATTGCAAAACAATCTCATGATGCCCAGTCCTAGCAGATAAACAAAAACAGTTCCATAATCAATGGGACGGAGCATTTCCCACAGGCTAAACCTTGTTTATGTACCATTCATATCTGTTTCAGACAGCTCAGTTATGCTTAGTCCTCAAATGCAACTGCTGTCTCACTCACCTTGATACATAATCTTTATTCAGGAATTAGTTTACTTAGCAGAAGGTTCCTAGACATAGCTCGGCAAGATTATTTTTTATTATTATTTCAGAGAAGAATGAAATCATATACACGCCAGAGTTTTGTCTACTGAAGTATACAGAATCAAGGCCTTCTAGAGGTTTGTGTGTTCTAATCTTCGCCCACCTGTCTTTTTAAGTCAGCAGTTATTTGGCCATTATCGTGATGACCTTGGAAGGCACCTGATCTGTGTAGGCATAATGGGTCCTTCTCGCCTGACAACAACAGGTTCCTACTTGACCAGCTTCAATCCTTTTTATTATTCGCTATTGTTAAAGAAAATGTACCATAATTACTAAAATGTTGTCACCCAATCCCAATATCAATGAAGTCATTAGTTTAATTGGTGGAGAGATTACAAAATTTATTTTTCATTGGAGAAGGTTCTAGTACCATAAATTTTTGCTATTCAGAGGATTCACTGAATATAATTTTGAACAAAATAAAAAGTTAATTTTATGCATGGGTTCCTAGGAACTTATGATATAATTACATGAAAATCCCCTAACATAGCAAATAAAACTTTTTTTTTGCTTTTGACTGATGTACTTTGTATAAGCCCTGCACTAGTCAAATGAATATAATATGTAGTGTAAATTACCTTAATAATTCCCTACTTCAGGGATAGCCATCTATGGCATAGGCTGTAAAGGGCCTCTCATTAAATATCTTGAAAACTTACAATACTCTTAATGGAATAGAGGATGAAGGTATTGTTTAAAGATCTAACCAAATGATTTCCCCTGTGCATGTAATGAGGAGCATATGCTTCCTTGAGGAACATATGCTTCCTTGAAAACTAAAGAAAAAGGAGTCTAAAACTTGACCTGAGCAGTTGGATGTTCAGCTGAGCACTTTTGAAAAGTTTGACTAGAAATGTTTCCCTTAGGGCGAAATATAGGTCAACTTACAAAAGTTCATTTAGTGACTGTTCAAAGTCACAATGGAACTGAAAAAGAAGAGTTATAATCGTTATTCACACTTACAACTATTGTAACAACCCCATTGTCATGTGATCAAAATTCAGATGCTTGGCAATTAAATCACCATCACCATCATTGTCATCATCACCATCATAGATGGGAGGGATCTTGGAAGTCTCCTAGTCCAATCCCCCTGTTCAAGCAAAAGACCCTATACCATTTCAGACAAATGGATCATTCTTAAAAGTCTCCGGTGATGAAGCACACATAACTTCCGAAGGCAAGCTCTTCTATTGGTTGATTATTCTCACTGTCATGAAATTTCTTCCTATTTCTAGTTGCTTCTTTCCTTGTTTCTTCTCTTGCCTTTGAAAAATAAGTTGACCCCCTCTTCTTGTGGCAGGCCCTCAAATATTGAAACACTGCTATTATGTCACCCCCTAGTCCTTTTCACTAGATTAGACATACCCAATTCATATGTTTAAGCCTCTAGCCCCCTAATCATTTTAATTGTTCTTTTCTGGATTCTTTCCAGAGTTTCAACATCTTTTTGAGACTATGCAACCATCATGTTTATGACAGTTGCAGTGTTCTGAGTTTAAGTGAATACCTTTTGAGACCTTCTGATAGGCAAACTCAATGGGGAAGCCAGATTCACTTAACAACCATGTCAATAACTTGACAACTACAGTGATTCACTTAACAATTGGCAATAAAACATGGACCAAAATTCATTTAACATATGTCTTGCTTGGCAACAGCAATTTTGGGTTCAATTATGTTTGTACATTGAGGATTACCTGTACAATAGGCGAACACTTTATCCAAACAATCAATATAAAATTTATAACAATTAAAGAACAAACTTAGTTGCATTGTTTTCATTTCAAAATATAAACAATTCATAAAAGAGGGCAGGACAATTATTTCAAATCTTGTACTGTAAATATTCTGTTCCTTCCCTTCTTTCTAAGCCATTTTGATGGGAGCAAGGAGAAAAGGCATTGATTCTGTCTTCTCCCTCCCTCCTGTCTTCCATTGTTTCTACTGTTTTCCATAGGAAGGGTGAGTCCATCCCTTTTACAGATTCTGGTTTGTCAGATCAGCATGGAAGCTGAGGGAAACTGTATTGTAATGATTAGGTTCTCTGTTATTATGGACTAAAACAGTGATCCCCAACCTTTTTGACGCCGCGGCCCGGTACCGGCATCAGCTGGGCGCCGCGGCCCGGTACCGGCATCAACTGG